CAACAGTTTGGATACGACGGTTTGATCGCGGAACTAGCAATTTTGATTGTACAAGTTTTTCAACAGCCAAGACAACACCGTCTTTGACCCGTAAGCCAATCGCAGTTCTAAATTACACATAGAGCCTTTAAAAATGAATACTTGGTGAAATAGATAATAAAATTATGTTTTTAAAAAAAAAATATCAAATACCCGCTATTGTCCACAGCTTTTGCAGCATATTCTACTTGAAAAACGCGACCGTCTGGTGAGTAAGTGGACACAGAAAGATCATACTATATACGAGTAGATGTAGAATTAATAGACTTTGCTAGATAAAGCTTATTTATATTAAGAACTTACACCAGTTCCAATCGAAGTCATACCGGAAGCTATACTATTTTGCTTGATTTAATATCTTAGGTCTCGAATACGTCTATTTACTCGAATGCCAACAAATTACGTAATGTTCATTGACGATCCAAGCATGTTTGACCCAATCAAAATTTGAGCAAAGTTTTTTTAATAATTAAAAAATTTTTTTAATTCTATTAACATAGTATTAAATAAAAATATATATCGAATTTGGTTAGAAATATCAAAAAATTTCGCTTAAAGTTTTAAAAAAACTATTTTGTCTATTAGTAAATAAAGTATTTTAAAATTTTTAAAATTTTAAAAAAATTTTTTTTAATAACTTTTTGATAATCTTCTAGATCAATTTTTTCAAAAAACTAAACTACAGAAAAATGATATAGTCAATATATTTTATATTACAAAATTTTTTTTTTAATCTTTGACAACCTTGCTAGTGATCTTTTATTAAAATTATTATATAAAATAAATTATATAATGTTGAGCTTAATATTTTAATCTGATATTTTTTTAGTTATTTCTATAAATACCCAAAAGTAGTCTGCCATATTGGGTAAAGTTTTATAATCTTATAACCCAGAAGGGCATTATCAAGTTGCTCTGAAAACCTTGAAATAGTTTTAGTTTGTTTTTAATAAATTAAGTTTATTTATATATTTTATAGTAACATTTTAACTAAAATTAGTACTTGTAGTTAAGATAAACTATTAAACTATTATATTATTAAATACTCTACTTTATTTAATTCTACTTCTATTTGGTTATCTAAACTACTCTTTTTTTGTAAAATTACTTTGCTATTTATTTTTAAATTAATATATATATATTTTTTCTTTTTTAGTTTATTTTGTATTTTTTTTAATTCAGTAGTCTTGTCTTTATTATTTTATTAAAAGTACTAGAAAATTAAATATTAAGGTGACCACTTGGGGGTCTGGCATGGTTTATTAACTTTCCAGTTCAATTATTGGGATACTGAATAGGTACCCCTTGACTTTGTTACATCAACGAGAGTACAATTGGTCATACGTACAACTTTAGTCATTGTTTAATTAAGAGATCCGCTATACTATTTATAGTTACCCACCAATTGCTATACCTAGGATCCACTTATGGATCTCCTATTTAAACTCTCTGATTGACTTAACACCGTCAGATGCTTTCTTCGGAAGAATTCCTGCTGCTAAGGCCCTTTAGGACTACTTTATCCTCATGGTAAACCTACCAAAGCGGTCCATGTCCCACATATATATCACCTGGGTTTTTCAGTAACTTATGCCCAATCCGAGAGCAGTTTTTGTAGCCGCTACCATTACCTACTCCTTGCCCTTACAAGGTTCGTTCTGATTCCGATACCAACTTTCAACCAGTCCTTATATCAATCCCTCTCCAACTACCAAACCAGTTAGCCCAGAAGGGTTGTTGTACCTAGACTCTAAGTACCTTCTGGTTTTACTTCTCTTGGTTCTAAATTCTGTAGCATCGGACCTTTTCTTCCAGTATGATTCTGGTGGCCAGGTTGGTGGACCCTTCTTGCCCCAAGGTTGTTCGTCCAGTTCTTCGGTCTCTAGTTCTGATTTTCTGTAGTATCATCAAAGATCTTTACTACTTCTAGCTTGGGTCTTACCAAACAGGTTTCAAATATTCCAGTTTCTTGGATTTGGATCGCTCTAAAGCTTCCATAATAAGATGGTAATACCAAGATTATAGGTGATATACCCAACCGATCATTGAATAAATGTTACCAGAACACAGGCCTATTTTTTTTTTTTTTTTTTTTTTGAGTATCCCTGTTGTAATCACAACTAGGGGCGCAGGTGGCGTTCTTTTATTAAAATATTATAAAAGACTTAGTTACTTTTTAGATATTTACATATTAGTTTAAAAGATTTAGATCTAGTGCTAAAGGGGTTGTTTTTTAGAATTTGTATTTCTTTTGAAATACGATTTCTAACAAAGGAGCTTAGGGAGTTAAGAGGTGTATCTGAACTTCCCCATTTTACTGAGGTGTATTGACACCATATCTCATAGATTGTAATAATATGTAGCCAGGTCAAAGCTATTCGAGCTTGAAGGCCTATTTTTTTGAAAAACGTCTCTGGTGGAAATCAAACTCTAGACCTGCCACTTGGGGTGACAACTTAACCACTACTCTATGTTGCCACACCCATAGTATCAGAAAATTATTATTAACAAGTAAATATAACTTTTATACATATTTTTATACTAAAGAAGATTTATTTAACTTTATAGCCCAAGTATAATACTATTTAGCAGCAGTTTGCTTTATATTAAATCCTCAGCTTTCTAAGAATTTTTAATCATTCTGATTATTAACTAGAGTAGTTGCATTGCTTCATCAAAAAGCCAAATCAAAGAAAACACAAATAAAAAAAACTACAAAAATATAGAGAAAGACAATAAAATATATAAGAAAAGAAGAAAGTAAAAAGATATTAAAAACAAAAAAAATTTGTTTATTTTAATATCATATTTATAAGTTTATAAAAAAGGTGTGGCGACATAGTGCAGTTGGCAAGTTGTCACCCCCAAATGGCAGATCTAGGGTTCAAATCCCACTGGTGATGATTTTGAAAATTAAGATTTGTTTCGGTAACAATTATTTGACGATCGGTTGGGTATATCACCTATAGTCTTGGTACCACCATCTTGAATGGGAGCTTTCGGGCGAAATACAAAGCCAAGAAACCAGAATAATTGAAACCCATTTGGCAAGTTCCAAGCAAGGAGGTAGTGAAGATCTTCAATGATACTGCAGAAACCGGAATCTCAGAAACCGGAGACCGAAGAACTAGATGCAATAACCCCGGGGCAAGAGGGGTTCACCAACCTGGCCACCGGAGTCGTACCGGAGAAAAAGGTCCTATGTTATGGAATTAGGAACCAAAGGAAGGGAACCATAAGGCATCTAAAGTCTAGGTATACCAACCTATCCGGGCTAACTGGATTGGAAGTTTGGGAGAGATCGGTATAAGGACCAGAAGAAAGGTGGATGTAGGTATCGGGATTGAAACAAACTTTGTAAAGGCAGGGGAACCAGGAATTGTGTGGTTTAATAATTAGCCCTGACCGCTAGTGTTGGCCTCGGCCATAGCAGACAGGTTCTCTGAACCTAATTTGGAAATATATGGGATATAGAAGGATTAGGGAGGTACCCTTAACCTTACAGTCAGGTGACGTACTCTGAAATGTGTAACGGCCTGAC